GGCGCGGTGGCAGGCACCTGTAGTCCCAGCTACTCAGGAGGCTGAGGCAGGAGAATGGTGTAAACCCAGGAGGTGGAGCTTGCAGTGAGCTGAGATCATTCCACTGCACTCCAGCCTGGGTGACAGTGCAAGGCTCCATCTCCAAAAAAAAAAAAGAATGGCTACTCCATAGACAAAGCAGCCCCGAGGACCGCTGGTTCTCTGTTTTTGTGGTTATTTCTTGATGATCTGCGAAACGAGGGGTGGATGATTCATACCTCCCCTTTTTAGACCGTGTATGGTGACTTCCTGACATTGCCATGGCGCTGGTGGGAGTGTGGCAGTGAGGACAACCAGAGGTCACTCTCGTCGCCATCTTGGTTTTGGTGGGATTTGGGCGGCTCCTTTGCTGCAACCTGTTTTATCAGCAAGGTCTTTATGACCCATATCTTGTGCTGACCGCCTGTCTCACCCTGTGACTCAGAATACCATAACTGTCTGGGAACGCGGCCCCATAGGTCCCAGTCTCATCTCACCCAGCCCCATTCAAGATGGAGTTGCTCTGGTTCACACGCCTCTGACAGCTTGAGCCCAGGAGGTTGGCGCTGCCCTGAGCCATGACTGCACCACTACATTCCAGCCTGGCCGGCAGGGCTACACTGTATCTCTAAAAAAAAAAAAAAATTCCAGGAACATGAAGATAATGAGTGACGGTTACATTGTGCATCTTGTGACAACATTGTAGGTAATTTATCACCTAGCCTGAAACTACAGGGAAAGAAAGGCAAATGCCCTGAAACAGTTTCCCTCCTGGCGTGGTGCGGGGACTTCACAGGCCTCCTGCTCAGGCCTCTCTGGGCCTGACCCAGGTCACAGACCTCACGTTTCCCAGGCTGCTCTGATCCACTTTTCTTTCTCACATCCATGAGGTGGGCTTCGTGCACCTTTCTGAACCTCACCCTGAGTATCTCTTCATCTGCCCGCTCATTTTTATCCCCTAAGACATCTGCAAAGCAAAAATAAAATTATAAGCCCTCAACCAGCAAAACGGACCCCTCCTTTCCTCCAAGGGGATTCTGAAGCGGCTCAAAACACTAGTTCAGGCCACGCTGGGAAGGGGGATTGGAAAAGCCTCATTACACCCTCCTCCCTTTGGGATTCAGGCACTGCTGACCAGCCTTAACATTAAAACAGAGATCTTTTTTTTTTTTAGAGGGAATCTCACTCTGTTGTGCAGGCTGGATTGCAGTGGCATGATCTTGGCTCACTGCAACCTCTGCCTCCCGGGTTCAAGCGATTCTCATGCCTCAGCCTCCTAAGTAGCTGGGATTACAGGTGCC